CCAACCCACCTAAACATAACCCAATTCAAACTAAACTCATTTATTGCTCACGATCTGGCTGCGTATCATCGGCCAGCACAATAACCTCATCAATACGCAGAATACTTATAGCCGCTTCCGTGGCAGCTCTTAGGGCTTTAGTCTTAGTATCCAACGGCTCAATAACTCCTTCTTTAAAGTTGTTCCTAATCTCGCCCTTGTCCAAATCAAGACCTGTCTCCCAATGACCTTTCTCATGCTCAGCCACTAACTTAGCCAGTAACTCATTGGCATCCAAAGCAGCATTCACTAGTAAAGTCCGTGGAATTTGCAGTAGAGCCTCACCAAAGGCCTGAATAGCAATTTGCTCATTCGTCCGGAAAGAAAGGGCTAAGTTAGCCAAGTAAACACTCAAAGCCGCTTCAAAAGCTCCACCACCCACTACAACCGATTTACTTTCTAGTGTGCGTTTCAGAGCACATAAACCATCATGCACACTTCGCTCCATTTCATCTAAGACTTGCTCATTCGGACCGCGTAGTACAATAGAAGAACCCGTACCCCGGCTAGCATTCACTACCGTACACTCATCCTCACCAAAATTAACAATACTCACTGAATCAGCCGTTCCTAAAATCGGAATAAACTCACTTCCATCTACCTCATCAAAAGACCGATAAACTTGTGTCCCAGTAATAGCTGCTATTCTTTCCAAGTCCGAGCGCAAACACCTTTTCACTCCCAAAGCCCCGGCATCCAATAAGACTTTCGTACAAGCCGCACTTATACCCTTAGTAGTCAGTATGACATTAGCCCCGGCCTTAACTAGTCTTTTAACCTTCTCAGTTGAAGTATGCGCTTCCTTCTCCCTAATCTGCTCTAGTTCAGCCGGATTTTCAGTCGCTATACTAACTGAAAGTCCCATTTTCATCTGCTGTAAATCCATGTCCAAACAGACAATCTTCGGTCTAACTACTTTACGTACCATCTGCCGCGAACTAGGCACACAGTTCAGAACGTATCCAGCTACAAAAACGGACTCATCCATACTCCGACCTTGCTTTTTCAAAACATTAATCTCATCAATAGCATACTCTACTTTCTTATCAGCACCTACTCTCTTAACCGTCTGAATAGCTTCTATCATTATCTTACTAAAGACCCGATTACTCAACTTGAGAATTTTACTGGCCATCGTACTCTCACAGATCTTCTGTAAATCAGTCTGACCAATACTTTTCAACTTCTTCTCTAAGGTACTACTGATAAACCCAGCTGCTTGCTTAAAAGCCGTCTTGTAACCACTAGCCACAACGGTAGGATGCACTCCAGTACTAACTAGTTCTAAACCACGTTCAATTAAAGCAGCTGCTAAAAGGACAACACTAGTCGTACCATCACCTACTTCATTATCTTGCTGTCCGGCTAAATCAATCAGAATCCGAGCAGCTGATTCACTAACGGACATAGATGCTAAGATTGTCGCTCCATCATTAGTAATAGTTAAGTCGCCCATTTTACTAACTAACATCTTATCTAAACCATGTGGCCCATAAGAACTACGTACTGTACTGGCTACGGCTAAAACAGCCGCTAAATTCATATCTCTGGCCGCACTACCGGTCAAACGTTCACCATCGACAAACAACTCCTGGACTACCATGCTAAAAATAAAAAAGGCCCCCTTCTATTTGCTTGCTATGCCTCCCTATCAATTCCTGGCCCATCTCGACCCCTCTCGCCCCTTCTATAAGTCAACTTGTTCTGTGTATGTATCAGGAGAATGAGCTACCAAAAAAGTCAACAGAATAGGTGGCAAGATAGGCTGTTCCTTCGGTTTAGTCGCCAGATTAAGTATCAGCAACACAAACAAATGCAGGCTGAAGTTGAAAATTTGGGCTTAGATTTGACGTCATTAGTTGGTCCACGCCAAAATTCATTATTACATGTAGCTGCACGGTACAATAATGTCGAAGCAGCCACTTATTTACTTAGTAAAGGATGTTCTATCCACCAACAAAATCAAGCCAATGAATGTCCCTTTTATTTAGCAGTCCGATATCGATCTAAAGATGTAATTAGACGACTAGAGGGCATAAAGACCTTTAAAATTTTAGACCCATGACCGGTCAGGAGTGTAAACATCCTATCAGAATCCATGGTCTCTGTGGGTGTTGTGGCGCCGAGATTGAAAGTGGCAGTGAAGAACGTCTTTATACGGTTTTGCATAATAATTCGAGTGTACTGCTTAATGTAAGCGAGGCAGCGAGAGTGAATGAAGCAAGTTACGAGCGTTTAATGCGAGAGGGTAAGATGGTTCTTTTGTTAGATCTTGACCAGACTGTAATTCATACTTCAATTACCAGGAAGTTTTCAAAGTACTTTCAAGACCTAAGCAAGTATCCAGTTGGGAAGCCGAGTAGTAGGGAGGAGCAGGCCATTCGGGAAGTGTTAGAAATAAATGTCGATGGTTTCACCTATTATGTCAAGCTACGCGATGGTTTGCGGCGGTTTTTAGCTAAGGCAGCTGAGTACTTTGAAATTCACATCTATACGATGGGAAACCGGCCTTACGGGACTAAAATGGCAGAAGTACTGGATCGGGATAAGAAGATCTTTGGGAATCGGATTGTTACACGTGATGATAATTTAGGGTGTTTTGAAAAGGACTTGGCCCGTATATTCCCGACTAATACGCGTAATGTAGTGATTTTAGACGATCGGATGGATGTTTGGCGGTACAGCCCGCATGTCTTCCCAGTACGACCGTACGTCTTCTTCCGATCGGGTGACATTAACAGTCCAGAGAGTTTACAAGGTCGAGTAAGTGAAGAATGGCCGGCTGATGAGAGTACAAATAATGGTGAGGTTGGTAGTGGTAAAGGTGAGGTTGGTAGTGGTAATGGTAAAGGTGAGGTTGGTGATGGAGAGGCTGGCGAAGGTGAAGAAGGTGAAGGTGGTGGTCGTAAGGAGGAGTTAGTGCGGAAGATAGTGGGGGAGTGTATAGCTAATTTGTTTGATAATGAGTTGGATCGGATTTTGGGACACTTGGTGAGTATTCATGAGGAATACTTCCGGACACGAGAAGATGTGGCGGTGATTTTGAATCGGCGCAAGAACTTGTTTGCTGGATGTGTGGCTCGGTTTGTTTCTTCTTTCTTTGAAACGGAACGGCACTTATCGGCTTTGTTTGTGCATTTTGGAGGAGAGGTAGATATCTATATTGGTAAGAAGACGACCCATGCGATTATGGCGGGGGGTGAGATTTATTTAGGTATGTTGCCTAGTAAGACGATTAAGTACGTTAGTGTTGGGTGGGTTTTTGAATCTATTTATGCTTTGAAACGGTTGAATGAGGAGGACTTTTTGTTGTCGTCTGGTTTAGGGACTTACTCGGCTGAAAGTGAGAGTTCTGGGAGTAGTGGGAGTAGTGGGTTATCGGGTGGTGAATCGGGGTTTTCTGAGAGTGAGGATAAATTGTATGACAGTCTAGTTAGTAAATGGTAAACTGGGCATCGCAAATGGTAAACAAGGAATAAACACTATAGAACATGGTTTTATAATGATTTGGGTTCGTAGGAGTATGTTATGGCCGAGAATAATCAGTAAGAAGATCAGCTGGAGAAATGGTAAAGTTTGGGGTGCGGTAGTAGTCGGGTGGTTGGTCGTGCAGGCAAAGCCTTACTTGCTAGGTGAAGGTGTGGTTTTTGTAGCTGAGGAACGACCGAGTGGATACCGTCAAATTAGCACTGATTTAGTTGATGGCTTTCAGGTAGTTCTTAGAGATAACAGGATGGTAAGTGATTTAGAAGTAAAACAGTCTAGTAAAAGTAAGTCTAATCGAATAGATTCTAATAGGATAGGTTCTAGTAGAGAGGAGTTTAATAGAGAGAAGTTTAGTCGAGAGAAGCTTAATAGAGAGAAGTCTGATGAGACGTCGGTAGAGTACATGGTGCGACATGGTGAGTCAGAAGTTCTTGATGTTTGGCACAAACCAAGTGGAGCTAAAGTACTGAGTGCTCGATCGGTTAAACACAACGTGTACCATGCGCATGTTCAGTCGGTTGAAGAGGAGATAGATGGAGAACGGCCTACTAGTATAGCTGGCCGGGACTTAGTGAACTTAAGTGAGTTGCGGAAAGTAGTGGTATCGGACTGGATGCTGGAATATTTGGAATTGGTCTTTAAACTGGCCAGCATTCCTGGGTACCGCCCTAGATTGGATTTGAATGAAGTGGCCGATGTACTATGGGTTTATTCACTCTTCTCGCTAAAAGAAGACGTGAATGTCCTGGATGTGTACCAGTCTGGACAGATGGATATGCGGAAAGTGACTTGTTTTCAAAACAATCTGCTGGATGCAATTGGTGCGGATGAGTCTGTGGCCCGTGAAGTATACCACATCTTGCGATATGTGAATAATCGTTTAGAGGCGCATAGAGAAAGACCGGCTGGTCCTAGACGAGGGACTGTGGCTGTTAGTAGGTTAGAGGCTTTGTTTGGGTCGTGGAAACTTGATGAGATGCGTTGGTTTCTTTTAGTAGGACTGGCCTGGGCTGAGAAGGACTTGATGATTCAGAGGAAGTTTGTTGGCGAAAAGGAGCTTGCTTCGACTTTGCGATTGACCTTTACCCAGGCGAAAGCCAGAGGAATACGACGGGAAGGCCTGCAATGGGTAAATCAAAATAGAAGTTTAGATCTGGTTAGCGGGCAAGGACATCTGCAATTGATGAAGCGTAGTTTGAGAAATCGAGTGCGTATTTTGAAAGTCTTCGTGGCTCATGGAGTGGTTGTGAAGAAGGAAGTCTGGCTGGCCGTACTGGATTTACTACCGGGGGTCTGGCAAGTGTTCTTTGCCGCACTAGGCGGGCCGGGTTTGCACCAGAACGCACAAATGGTCGAGCTAGTGCTCCAAAGAGAAGATTGGAGAAAGAAGCATTCTTTATCACCGGCTATTACTGGCCTGGTGGTTGATTATGCTTTTGGACTAACCTCAAAAGCTCTTAAGTACTTAGAATCGGCTAGACTGACTCGGTTTGGGTTTACAGCCTACTATCCAAGGGATTTTAAGCTTGAGCGTATTCATTGGGTGAAAGACCATCCAGTGACAGCTTTCTTGGAGGACCTAAACAAAGGGGCGTTTAAACTCTCACAATCCCTCACTGCCCTAGTTGGTCCGGTCAAACTATTTGGCACTGGGCCAATTAGACAGTCGGCCTGGCCCCGCTTGCGGATTCTTGAAGTACATCTGGAACCTTTGGGGCAATGGACATCCCAAGAAGAAGCGAATATTCTTAAACTAACCCAGAACATGCCTCGGATTTCCCGGCTGTCTTTAGTGCAAAGCCGGAACTCCACTCTTTCAGTCTCGGCCGTACTATCTCTTTTTAAGTTCCTTCCCGCCGTCAGTACTCTAGATCTCTACCGCACCAACATCCCAATTGACTTGGCCAAACAGCACCTTCTAGATCCCGCCGTTCTTTTTACACGACAGCTACGCACTATCCTTCTGCCCTACCGGCCAACCCAGGCAGCACCCTCGCGCTTCACCGGAATCATCAACCAATTAGTTACCCATCTTCCCCAACTTAAACGTCTCCTCATCTTCTTTCCTTACGAACTCTCCAATATCTTCCTCTTCCAAACTCTTGTTCAAGACATCTACCGCACTTTGGCTCTAAACACGAATGATACCACTACTCTAACCCAACTACTGCAACTCTACTTCATTCAAACCGACCTGCAACACCCGCCAATTATTGAGTACCAAGTCCATCCCTTCCGTTTCAATCTCGCCGGCCTAGCTAAAACTTACCACCACCTAGACCATTCCGGGCTCAAATATCCCCCCACCTTTGATGAACTAGCCCATGTCATAGCCACCGCCGCACGTACTCCTCCCATCGACATAGACGCTTCCTTTACCACCTAACCCAACAATAACCCAACACAATACCAACCACCCCAATACCAACCCGATATCAACCCAATCTAGCCCAATAAATAGATATTGCTTTTTTATTTACCCTATGGATGCTGACATGTCTGAATTACCTCCTAATCCTCCCCCACAGCGTTTGTTCTCTTTAGAAGAAGCCCGCGACCTAGATATTGAATTTCTAGATCGAGCCAAACATATTCAGGATGAAATGAAACAGTTAAAAAAGGACCTAGATATGCATAAGAAGAAGAAGAAAGCCTTAGAACTGTGTGTGGACAAGTTGCGGCTATCTTTTCAGGAATATGTCTACTCAATTGAAGTTCTTGAAAATTCACCACTCTACAAGAAAGTAGCCCCTAATGATAAACTGAATCACAGCCGAATACTCAAAAACTGCCATTTATTCATGCCTCCTGTAATAGACTCAGACTCTTACATTGATGCGCCCATTGAAAACACCATTCGCAAAGCTTGTTTAGAATATAAGCATGTCAAGAGTCTGTACAATGCCTGTCTGGCCCTAGAGAATACTAAAGCCCCAAGTACAGAAACTACTGCTGATATTGAACATTCTTTTGATATCTATGAGAAAGGCGTAAACTACTCGCATTCCAAGATGTCCTTTGCCCTACTAGTTAACCAATTGGTCTTGCAACTAATGGAAGGTATATTCCAGGAGGTAGAACATATGCATGGTTTATCCTTTGAGTACTTTAAACTGTGCCTGAACCTGCATAAAATCAAGGAGTATCAGTACAACTCCTCTGAAAATGCTATTGATCCGCATTTAATCTCTCGTGAGAACAAGACTTTTACTGATAAGGCCCTTGAGGAGTTAGAAAGACAGAAAAGACGGATTTCTAATGAAAAACGGCCTACTCCGGCTAATTACAAATTAGAACCCAATCCTGTATCTCTACAACGACGCCGGGTGCCTTATATCACTGACTTTTTAGTGGGCAAGTTGCCTGTTAAGTCTACCTACTCTTTTACTACTAAGTTTGAGATAAGCCAGCAACTTTTACGTGGCCATATCTCTATTTATCCAGCACTGATAGTAGTAGAAGAATTGGTTTTTGGTTGGAAGTTTATCTTCCAGAAAGAGAAGATCTTCTACTTCAAAGCGGCAAGTAATTATGTTGAGCTAGAAACTGCAGTCGGATCTATTACTATCTACTGCAACCAGAAAGAGTCACTCTTCTTTTCGAAGTGGATGCAAGGTGCTGACTTCTACTTTCCCCAAGATACGCCCTTGGGCTATGTAGATGCAGATCTTGATACGGCCTTCTGCTGGATCTTTGAAGAAAACACGGATATTCCTCCAGAACTGTACCATGCCCATAAGTATACCTTAATCGAGACTAAACGAGGTGAGAACAATCTGCGCAAACGCCTCTTCACTAAGAAACTTATCTGGTGGTCTTTTGAGTTTAGTACTAAGTATGAAGAGACATACTTACTGGAAAAAAGAACTCCTCAGGAAATTGTTGTTCTAATCTACTCAGAATACTCGCTTTGTTCTTTCCTGCCTCCTTTTGCGGGTATTTCCAAGATAACCCTACAGCTACTGTCTAATGAACAGAAAGAAACCACTAATGTGTTTTATGCCTACAAAAAGTCTACCTCCTGGGCCTTCAAGTTCTTATCACGCATGCTTATCAAAGAAAACGTCTGTACTCTTCATTCCATTGCCATTACATCTAAGAATGGCCATACCTTCCATAAGCCACGGCACTACTTTACTCTTCTAGCCACTAGCTTTCTTATGGCTCTTCTTTCAGTGGCTATAGCTACTGGATATCTTTATAAGCTTCTTTTCAAACTGCTTCTTCTTTAGCACGTTCAGTCGGTCTGCTCACTGTTAATTATGGTAATGCCCAGCTTAATTCCAGTTTCAAAACTATGTTGATTTATCCATCTTAAATACTGGGTGGTAGACTCGTCTGGGCCACTGCGATCGGGCTAGCTGTAAGCTCTGAACAATAAATACACTACTAATCCATTGGACTAATTTACCGGTCAAAGATAATGTTTTAAGTCGGGTTAAACTCTCAATGTACCAGATTGGCGTACGTGGCTTCATCAGGCGGTGCAACCAACAGACTGGTACGCAAAGACCCGGGCCATTACAAAGCAAAAACTCACCGGATATACCCAGTACTACCCGAAATGAAACAAACAATGACTTAATTATGCGAACAACTGAGTAACCTTGTAGGACTTCATTTGGTCGAGGTATTTCATAAACTACTATTTGCTTACTAATTCCTGCCCGATTAAGTTTGGCCACTGATTGCGTATCTCCGGCCGAAACAATCACATTCAAACGTTCCAGCTCAAATGGCGCTACTTTAAGCACTTCAAGCATTTCTTGCGTATGTCCACCACCACCCAAGACTACAGTTCCTACTATTACCCCTTTATTCATTAAAAGTTTGGGAATCACATCATTTCTAATGGTACGATTCCCAGTAGTTTCATGGCGTCACAAAGAACTAAACGAGCTGCCATGTACATAGCTAGTCGTGGTTCAGCGGACTCCTTAGGCTGGTTGGCTACCCAAACTGCCTTGAAAATTGCATTGACCATCTTGCACACCTGGAAGATGTAAGTCACTAGAACGGAAGGCTCGTGACCCTTAAAACTCTCCTGAACCACAGAAGGATACCGACCCAGTAAGAAGACCAAATCGTAACTCCGAGGATCCTCTAAGTACTTAAAGTCCATTTGGCTAACTGGTGGCAGAACTAAGCTAGCATTCCTCTCTATACTCTTCAGACGACAAACAGTGTACTGCACATACGGTCCAGTATCCCCAACAAACGAAGTGTTCTTCTTCATATCAAACTCATAATCCTTAGCCCGTTTAGCCTTAAGGTCTTGGATAATAATTGCAGACATGGCTAAAGTCAAGGAAGTAGACTCTTTGTCTTTAATCTGGTCCAGTTTAGTTGAAGATGCCATGACTTCTTTAACGGCTTCTTGGGCACAGTCAATAATATCTTCTAAGAAAACGACTTGTCCTCGTCGGGTGGACATTCCTCGTACCATTCCGTAGTTGATATGTAAGAATAACTCAGGCGGGTACCCGTCCTTAGCCAGTAACTTAAACAGCTGCTTAAAGTGCAAGTCCTGCTGTGAAGCAACTACGTAAATCAGTCGTGCTGGCTGGTAAGTGGCAATTCGGTCCTCAGCAGCTGCGATATCACGAGTAATGTATAAGGCTGTTCCATCGTTCTTAAAGAGAACAAACTTACCTAGATTGCCTAAATCAGCAATGCAAGATCCATCTTCACACTGTTCTACATACGACCGATTACGAATTCCAGCTAAAACATTAAGTCGATAACTACTCTCTCCACCGTACACATCAAAGTGCACATTCATTTTGGCGTATAACGTCTTGTACTTGGCAATACTCAACTCACGGAAACTTTGCCATAAAGATAGGGCGGCAGGATCACCTTCCTCCATTCGCTTAAAGAACTCTCGCGCCTTATCATGCACGGTTGGATCTTCGGCTGCATCCTTGTTCGTCTGCACATAGACGTCATGTAAGTGCTTAATAGGATCTAGCCGCATCTTTTCCTCGTCGCCGTGCCGTTTATATCCAACTCCTAACAACCCAAACTGTTTGCCCCAATCCCCTAAATAGTTGATACTGACGGTTTTGTATCCCATCTTTTTGTAGATGTTTTGAATGTAGTTACCAATAATAGTTGTTCGTAAGTGGCCGGCATGGAAGACCTTAGCAATATTTGGTGAACTGAAATCAATCACTACACATTTGCCTGAACCTTCTTGTGAACTTCCATATGAATCCTTTTGACTTTCCAAGATATCTCCTAAGATATCTTTAGCTACTTCTTTTGTATCGGCAAAAACAAAGATCATTTGACCGTTAACTTCTACTTTCGCAATGCTTTTGAAAGTTTGACTGGTAAAATAGCTTTCTACTTTTGTAATTACCTCTGTATCTCGAGTTAGTTGTGAAAATGGAATCATAAAATCACCATTTTTCAAATTACGCGATCGCATAATACTTCGACTAACGGCTTCTCGATCAAAACCCGTTGCATCTACGATAGCATTTTCTATCTCTTTTCGTACTTTATCCATGTCGAAAAAAATATGCAATTACCATATAAGTCAATGTGAGATATCACTTGAAATTGAGTTTTTAATCGGTTGTTGTATATCTAGACTGGCTTAATAAGAAAAATCAATGGTGGTATGTGCTTTGGGTTAGTTGGGTTGTTGTTTATTTGGGTGTTTTAGTGGGTTAAATGGTAGATAGAGAAGTTTACTTTGCGCCTGGATTCTGAATTTAACCATCCGTTTCAAGGGATAAAGAGGAAAGATGCTGTTCTAGGTAGAAGATAAAAGGTGGGTTGAGTATTTAATGAAATTATGATGATATAGATAAGAGAACATTGTGTGCTGTACTTATTTGTAAACTCTAATAAATCTATTGCTAATCCAATTTCAGTTTATCATTATACGTTTAGTACTGTTTAAAGACTGGTCGGATTATAATAATCAGCTGAATAATTGGCTGGTCGGTTAGTATTTAGGCCGGAGTTTGTGCTTATAAACCGGTGGATAATTATGACGTTATGTATGCGCTGAGTCTTCTGCGGCTGTTATTGCGTTAGGAGGCATGTTGGTTGGGTTGGGTAGCTAGTTGGTTGCCCTTTGTATGAGACGGCATTAGATATGTGGTAGTTGTTAGTCAGAATCGGATCTTTTTAGAAATATTGATCAATTTGTCTTTTATTTCCTTTTTGGGATATTATAACCTGAAATGGAAACTGTAGTATGACATAAAACTAATTCATTGGTTCATAGTAAAATATGAAGATGGTTGGTCATACTGAACAAGATCTTTTTTGTGTTTGATGATATCTCAGGAGGTTATAAAGTATAAATAACGATGATGTCAATAAATAGGCTGTAGTTTCACTCCCAACTTGACCAAGATATGTGATCTCTTTCTTTTTTAGCTCTATGTTTGATTTTAGGATGATCACCGTTACTTCTGTGAATGTTTGGTGCTTTAAGTCAATGAAAAGGCAGTTTACTATTGGTATTGGACTATATATCTTACTTGGATGGTTGTCTAGTATTGGGAGTCCAAATGGACTTAATGGAATATGTGTGGCGGCTAAAATAGATTGTCCGAGTTCAGCTGAGATGATAGAAAGCCTGAAACCAATCGGTTTTGCATTTAGTGAGATGGATTCTGAAATGCAGGTTAAACCTTACGTTCCTATGCGAACAAAAGAGTTCACACCTGATGCTAATCCTTTCCCAAGTCCAGTATCGGCCCACACAACATCAGGTACCCCCAGTTACAAGCTAAAATATTCAGGTCAGTATATTCGTTTTCAACTACTTAACTATTCATCCCCAGCTAAGATTATGGCGAATTTAGAAGAACTACAAAAGATCGCTGTTATTAAGACCCGAACTGCTTATATTGTCTACCCATCGCCTATTTCCAGGCCTCACTGGCAGAGCTTACTGATTTTATCACGAGTTATTAACATATTTGACTGTCGGCGGCTGAATGTGTCTGTGGCTTCTAACTTAGGGGTCGAACTAAACCAGGCACAGTTGGTGGAGTGTCAGGAAGAAGCCCAGCATGTTATCCGCCATGCTAGTTATACGGCAGCTTGCCGGCTCAATATTAGGCCCATCTCAACTAGTACTATTTCAAGTTTGGCAGATAGCGGCGTGTTCTTACTCCGACCTATTTCAAGTATGCTCTTTAAAGATAAAGAATTCCTTCATGCACATCTCCTTAAGCAGTTGCCACTAACCAGTAGCTACACCCTTTTCTTTGAATGCTTGCCTGCTAAGGCTTATATTGTACTCGATCTTTCCCAAAAATCGTCTTCTCAATGCAGGCGTATCACTATTGCCGAGTGTATTGCAGCGGATATTACTTTCGTTGGTCTTGAAGACGCTATTGCTAACCATCCTGCGCTAACTCTAATGGCACCTTGGCCAGTTCTTCTGCACATGGGCGAACATAACCCAGTCCAAATCAAAGTCAACACTCTTTTAGGTCTTGATGTTTCTCCGGAGTCTTACCAGCTAATGATTAATGCTCCCCAAAAGGATTCACCTGCTAAGTCTCAACTTATTACCAATCATATCAATTCCACAATTATCACCATAATGACATGTAAACCTCTCGATTATTACGCTCAATTATATACCACTAGTGCCTTTGCTAAGTATGGTATTGTTGCAAAAAGAGTCCAGCTCAGCTATGAGGGCGAACGAGATGACTTATGCACTACCCTAAATCTGTTTGTCTCTGTCGGTGCTTTGTGGAGACTACCTATAGAGGTTTCGCCAAATGCGCAGGATCATATTGTGTGCTGTGGCAATGAACTCAGCACTCCCGGTTGGAAACTTCAAAGTGCAGTTGATATCAAACTTGATATGCCCGACCTTAGTAACATACTTGCGAGGTATAAACAGAGATGCTCACCATACTTTTGTCAAAACATATGCTACTCAACCATCAATATCCGAGGCTCAGAAGCACCGCGGCCAAACTATGTCAACGACTGTATGACTTTTCTAGATCTATTCTTGGACATTACAGCTGACCAACTTAAACTTGAGAATATTCATGATGCTAGACCAGCACTCTGCAACTTTGAGATACCTCGTCTAGAACAAGAAATGCTAATCCAACCCAAGCTACGTCTCAATGTTCAAACAATAGTATTGAATAGTGTCGATGTTCGCATCCTTTACCGAATGTTAGGGCGGTATGACTTTTCGCGTAAGGTGGAAGTATCTATTTTAAACCAGCAGTTCAGCAATCTTGCTATTGCCCGAGTTCTTTCTCTTCCAGTAGCCCAGCAAATCAGCGCGATCACAATCAATGACTTCTTTGAATTAAACGAAGTCACACATTACGACGAGCAAGACGAAATAGAAGGCTTCTCCCTACTTAAACATGTTGATCTGGCCATCCAAGAAGGCAAGACGCTTCAGACACTCGGCCTGCACAAATTGCATATGAGGCTAGCTATTGTTGACTTTCTCGCGTATGCTGATGCTTTGCGACGACTGCTAAGTTATGGTATTCAACTTCTAGACATGCCATTCGATTTATATATGGAGAGCATCTCGACTCCCTTGGGCTATGCAGCCCTCACAGACAAGAAGGTGTTTACTCTTTATAGTGTTGATTTGATTGGGTTAGAAAATGACCTTAGTACTGACCAGCCTATGTCCCAACCGCAAGAGAGTTTAGTTCAGAGGCAATCAGTTGAAAGACTATTATTGCACTTTAGCAATGGGCAGGACCTAACTAAAGAAAGCTTTGTGACTATTGTTCGATGGGTGGCCTATCGGTTTAAGAATGTGGTTACTTTACAACTGGAAGACCTTATGTCAACAAAAGATGTGCAGAATCTAATACGTTCGTATAATTGTTTGATTGTTGGTTTAGAGCGACTGAGTAGTATTGAATTGGCAGATCCCGATCTAAATAGACCGTCTATCGAGTTGTTGTCTTGGCAGTATCTTAATAGCTTCCAGGTCTGCGCCTCTAATCCGGAACCCACCTTCATTGTTGTACCGGCTAGAATGATCCCTGATCTTATTGCCTACACCGAGTATCTTGATAAGTTCATTCCGGAACCATCTTATCCCATGACACCTTTTCAAAGGGTTATAGAAGATCTTAAGCGCAATAGGCAAGATCTTGATGAGCTGGCATGTGATATTTGCTGCCGTAAAGGGTATGTGCCGCCAGAGAGGCAAGAGAATGACGAACCTGGTGCAAAACGACTGCGCATGTTTGTGCCAGAAAAGGACTTCAAGGCATTTTGCTATCACAGCTGTGGGAAGCCAATATGCAATGTTTGTGTGGCTAATTGTGTCTCACCTAGCGAAAAGTGCGTATTCTGCCAACAAACAAATGCCCTTGCTAGTATTTACCAACTTAGGAGCCTTCCTCCATCTAACTTTGTCTTAGCTAAGGGCACTACCAATACACCTGCTGCTAGTCGTGATTGGATCAAGAAGATGACTTGGAATGATGGCCGGATCTATTTAGCAGTCGTTTTTAAATACTTACTTGATTCCGACGCGATTGTCAACAATGGGCTTCGCTCTAACGACACTTTCAGAATCTGGGTTATTTGAATCTAAGAGTAATAAATAGACCTGATGAATAATCTAATGGTATTGCGCAAGAACGCTTTGCCTTCTCCTCTACTTTACTTGTTCTACGTGTTGTTGCCTTAATGCTTTGCTGAAGACCGTCAGGAATGGTGCTAAAGAAGAACTAGCATCTTTTGCTTGAGCTGGTGCACGGGTTAGTATTAGTGTTGGTGTTGGCGTTTGGTTTAGTGCTAGTGTTTGGCTAGACTGAGCGATGTCATGAAAAGAAATAGCGACTCTGCCATAGCATAGCATGACTAGAATGACCTCAGATTGAGAAATACAATATGATGGTGTAATAAATGTTGCACGCCAATCTTGTAACTCGCCGAACTTGAAATTTCAAAACTATTTGCAGAAAGCGAAGCTCGTCACTTCCAGGCCCGAAATTGCGGATTCCGAGGCTGGCGAGACAGAATACAATAAAGATGCTTTATTTGAAAATCTAACAATTACTAGTTTAAAATATACACGGACAAATTAGAGCCACTCGAGTTCCGCACTATTTTGCGAATGTTTTGAAAGTGGCTATCAACCCAAAAGTGAGATAGATACTTTCAGGTTTTTCGCTCTCTTCCTTTCTTATCTGAAAGTGCTTTAAAGTAATAAACTCTCCTTTTATAGTCCAATTCTTATCTCTTATCATATTCTATGATATAAACAGATCTAGTATAATCGTTGAAAAGAGGCCTTTATTCGTCCTGCTATTGGGTTAGCAATATGTTGTTCGGATCAA